TAAATAAATAAATAAATAAAAAATAAAATAGAGACGTCACACAGCACATTCTCCGGGCATGACTCAGTGAATGCAGGCTAAAGACCGAAAGGCCTCCATGACATCTACTTAGGGACGGGAAACCACATTCCCAGAAACCTCAGGTTCAAATGGTGGCAAAGGCCAAAATTACAAATCCCCTAGACACCTATGGAAAGAACGATCTATACCACACTCTCTCAGAAGCATGGCTTCAAATGCCTTGTCAGTAAAGACAAGAGGCTGCAGGAGAGCTCCTGGAAGGTCAGACAAACCCCAGTGGCCCTGGCAGACCCGGGCACCCTGGGCATCCTGCCCACTGCTTGGAGAGCCGCAGGACAGGGCAGGCCATGGCCCAGATGCATGGCTGAGGGTGTTCAAGGGTCCAGCCCAGTCCCATCCTCACCCCCAACTCCTCGGCGACCAGCTGCCAGTGCAGGTGGCCGTGTGCGGCAGCAATGGCCATCAGCTGCTCCACCTCCTCAGTGCTCCACTCCTGCTTGTTGATGCTCGGGTGCTCGGAGCTCTGCCAGAACTTCTGGATCTCCTCCGCACTGCGGGCGCCTTCAAACTGCAAGGGGAGCACAGCCTATTAGGCTGCCAACCTGGGCCCTGCGCCAGGATGGCTCTGGGATGAGCTGCCTCTGTGGCTGGTACATTCATGGCCAAGTGGACGTGGAACCTCCCTCCCATTCACCCGGCCACCATGTAAAGATTTGGCCCCAAATGCAAACCCAAGAGCCTCTGAGATCACATATCTCAAAGAGGGACCTCAGGTTAGACAGGCAAGGCCTGAGGCCACAGTTGCTCCTCCCGATTGCTGGACACACACAAAGCCAAGGGCCAGAGGAGGCTGGGGCAGCAGGGCCCACACAGCCTAACCATCCACTCCACCCCACGCTCAGCCTTAAAGGAAGCTTCCCAGCTTACATTGACTTTGGAAATCTTCTCCCAGTCATGGCTATCCATCCTGTTTCCCAGTAGGGCCTCCTCCGGGAGCTGGCTGGAGAGTGGACAGGGTGTTGGCATCACGCCAGCCTGCTGGCTCAGCCCCAGACCTGCAAGGCCCCGGCTCACTTGATATCCTGGATCTCCTGCTCCGCACACCTGGCCTGCTCCTCAAGGGCCTGCCTCTCCGGCTCACTGGAGATCCGGCTCTGCTTCTGGCGCAGGTACTCGAGCCTGCAAGGCAGGCAGAGGCAGGAGGGCTGGGGACAGTGCTATGCTGAGGGCACGGGGCTGGGCCTCGCTAAGGCTGGCTCCATGACACAGCCTGGCAGGGCCTGGCCTGCGCTCACACCTGCCTTCCTCTGCTGCCTTGGCTCCGCACTGCAGTACTCCCTGGGGTGTCCCGAAGACCGGCACGGGGTCACCCAGGGCAAGAGGCTCAGTGGTTACCAGCGGTCCTGTGTCTCGGCCCAGCCCACACTGCTGAACCAGGGCAGAGTGGACTCAAGACATCTGCTTCCCTGAGGGGACCATCAAGGATGGACTGGCTTTCACGGCCGTGGGAAGGACCACCCTACCCGACTCACCAAGGCCACAAACCCTCTGGTGGCCAGTGAAGATCCCAGTGTCCAGACCAAGCCTGCCCTGCTGCTATGCCCTGAAGGCACTGTCCCTGACTCCAGGCCACGCAGGAGTCAGGGCGGACCCAAAGGCTGTGGAACGGACGCTCAGCCCAGACTCTGTGGCTGCTCCTCAGGGGCCACCTGAGTCTGCAGGTGCCCAGACGCCAGAACATGTGGCCCGATACAACCAGCAGGTGGCAGCACCCTTGTGACCCAAGTGGCAGGGTGGGTACCCTGTGGATACATGATGCCCTCATCTGCAGACCCACCCTGCAGGCTTTGTGGACAGCTCCATCCTCACAGGGGACGTAGAGAGAGGAAGACAGAAACTGCTTGAGCTACACGGTGAGTACCGGGCCAGGCACAGGCCGCCCCCTCCCCAGACAGGTGGGGCTTGGCTGTGGGGAGCCCTCCAGGCAAGGGTGCAAGGGGAGCCTGGCTGTACCACCTCTGCCTCGGGAAAGCCGCAGGGCCGTTTCCAGACTTACTTCAGCAGCTTGGGCTGGAGCAGGCGCTGCAGCCGGTCGCTCACCACTGACCTCCGGAGCAAGGCCTTCTCCCAGTGCTTCCCTGAGGAGGGCGGGTGTCAGGGGTCTCGTGTGTGCTCAGGGCGCACACTGCGTCCTCCACAGCCTTGGGCACCGTGACTGGCTGCACAAAGGACCTTTTGGACGCAAGGTGGGCAGCAGCCAGGCCCACAGGCCGGCCTCTGTCCTGCCAACAACCCCACCAAGGCTGCTGTTCCCAGGGAAAGTGGGAGAGAGATAGTAGGCAGGAGGAGGCCTGGTCCTGGTGGCCAGTATCTTCAAAAGGACCCTGCTCCCTGGGCAAGGCAGGGGTCAGGGCCAGAGGAGGCAGGTCTGTGAACTGCAGTGCCCGCCCCTTCCTAGTCTCCACGGCAAGGGAGGGGTGAGGCTCTTACACTTGGTCACCAGGAGCTGCTCGAAAGCCTTGATTCCCTGGGCAGCCTTCTCCCGCGTGTCTTCATTGGCAGGAGGCCCCTGCGTCAGAGGGCACAGCGCTGTGACGTGAGGGCTGTGCTGCAGTGACCCGCAGGACCCAGCCCTCCCCAGCCTCCTCTGCCTGGGGCTGCTGCCACACGAATGGCCTAGGCGTGACCTGACCATCTGCAGGGAGGCCAGAGACTCTGAGGGGCACAGGCAGCACAGGCCTGCGGTCAGCAACAACAGGCTCTGCAACAAGGACTTGCCAATAGCCTGGATGTCACCTCAGGGAAATGCGCCCCAGGCCATCTACTCAGGGCAGAGATCAGCATGCAGGAACTTGCACCAGGGACAAGAAGGCTTTAGGGGGGATGGAGAACGTCCCCAAGAACCCGTGGAACTTGGGACCACACACAGCAACTGTGGGGACGAAGCCCCTTTCTGGGGACACTGGGCCGGGCTGACCACAGCAGGGCTCCAGCCACTCACCACTCCAGTGACCTTGTCCTTGAAGTATGGCTTCATGAAGTGTCCAATGTACATGTGTGGGGGCAGGCCCTTGCCATCCTTCACCCTGGGGCCTTGGGACCCAGACAGGCCCCACAGGATCTCCTCCTGGGACAGAAACAAGGCTGAGCGGGCCCCAAGGGGCAGAGGGGGTCGGGCCGGGAGCATAGAGCTCAGAGGTGGAGTGGCTGGCACACAGAGGCCTCCTACCTGCTGCTCCCGGTTCTGGGCCAGCAGCAGGCTGACCTCAGCCAGCTTCTCCTGGATGACCTCCTGGTAGACCATGTTCAGCTGCAGACAGGTCTCGGGGTCCTCGGGGAGGGCTTTATCCTTGGGGTCCTCCTCGTCATTGCGGGTTCCATCCCACCTCTCTTTGGCCTGGGAAGGAATGGGACGGCAAGTGAGGACACGGATGGAAGGACGGTCCCCACCTCATGCCACAGCACGAGCCACGTCCTGGTTGCTGGGCCCTGGGACACGGAGGCAGCTCTGGCACAAGACCACCGGGTGTGGAACCAAGGGAAACCCTGGTGGGTGGCAGGGGCCTGTCCATGACTCCAAGCGGGATGTTTGGAGCGGGGTCGGTGTGAAGAAACAAGCACCTTCCAGTGACTGCAGCAGGCATGCCCATCGCTTCCATCCCCGGTACACAGGGAGGAAGCTGCCTGCAGCTCTGCACCCAGAGCTGGGGATGTCAGAATGCCCACACGGCAAAGTACCCACACACCACTGAGCCACGCCAATCCCCACGAAGGGGCCTAGCCCCTCAACACGGGGGGGACTCCATACCTCCTGACAGACGCGAGGGAAAAACCAACAAATTGCAAAAGTCTCTCTGAAGGAAACCCCAAACAAACAAGACACAGTTAATAACAACGGGAGCCACCGATTCCAACTGGCACCGTCCTGGGTGCTTGTTCGCATCACCGGGTGCAGAGCCCACCCCACCGTCCAGCTGGAAAAGGGAGGCACAGCAGGCATGGCACAGGAAGCAACTCGCATATAAGATGAGTTAGCACCAGCTTGGGAAAGCTGGCAGGGCAAGCACCAGGGTACTGCTGCTTACTTCTGGGGCCAATTTTTATTTTGAGAATAGATACTTTGTGGCATCTTGTTTTTATAACGCACAGTTACATTTGTAACACAGAAAAGCTAAAAGTGCGTTTGGGGGGTGGTGGCCGGCCTGACCTAGCAGCCAGTGGGGGGAGCTTCATTACCAAGACTGGAGGGCTGGCGATGTCCAAGTCCTCGGCAGGAAGCGACTCTGTCAGAAACATAAGCACACCACGCTGGAGACCAGAAGACCAGAAGACGGCACACAGGCCTCGGGCAGCATGCAGTGGGGAGGGAGTGAGCATTCCTGGCAGGAGAGCCCAGGGCAGAAGAGATCCCAGGGACCGGAGCCACAGTGATCGACCAGGCTGAGGGTTGAGCCCTGGCTGAGCCCTCTTCCCAGGATGGCACACTCACCCAGAGCCCAGGCAGTTGGCATGGGAACAGGCTGTGTACAGTCAGGAGCTAAGTGATGAGGAGTGGGCCCTAGCTCTGTGGCTACGGTAAAGGCAGAGGCCACGCTGGGCAGCAAACGGCAGGGCTGAAGGAACTGCTGGGGGTACCCAGCTGTCCAACAGGCCCCGGGGAGGCCAGCCCCACGGGCTCACCTCCATCAGAATCTGACTCGAGACTCGATTCAGAGACGTCCACGGGGATGCCGGAGGAGCTGGGGTCCAAAATCCTCTCCAGTTCCTTGATCTCCTTCGATAGTTTCTCTCTTTCGGCGTCTATGTCCATGACTTCCACCTGCTTCCAACACACATCATAGAATTTTAGGATGCAAGAGAACCCCATCCCGCCACGACACTCTCTGGACGCAGACTGAAGTGCAGGCCAGCCCTGGTGCTGCACCCTGCAGCCTTCTGCACCCCAAGAGCTTCTTCATATTTTGCTTTGCCAGGGTCCCACATCCTGTGAATGAGACTTCAAGCAGCATAGGCAGAGACCAGAAGGACAGCAACACGGCCCACCCGGCTGGTCTCTAACAGGCTCCGCCAGGAGGAAGCTGGTCGCCAAGTGCAGAGGGCACAGAGTGGCAAACTGGCTACAAAGACAAGGCCCTGTGAGATCTAAACTATGCTCCAGCTGCAGGGGCATCCAGCGCTCCATATGTGGCCAGGACGTGCAGTCACCTGACAGATGACGCAGCATCTGGACAGCACCGGAAGGGGACTGCTGGGGAAAGGCTCCATCTGTCCCTGCTCTCCCTCCAGCCAGAACAGCACCTGGCAGGGGTCTGACACTGCATAAACACCTGCTGGGCAGACAGGAGGCCTTTTCTTTAGGAACAGTCGCCAGCAAAGACTAAAGGGGTAAGGAAGCTGGAAAGAAAGCTGGTAATACAAGGCACTGGCAGAGAATATTCCAGAAAAACACATGCCCGGGGCAAACGGCAAAGAAACAGCCTCCCCCACCCTTGGCATCCCCTCCCCCGAGTGGAACCTGTCTAACAAAACGGCACCGATAGCAAGTGCCCTCCGGGTGCACCAGGCCTGCAGCTCCCTCAGACTGGGAGAAGCCTGTCAACCTGCAAACCACTCAGCAAAGAGCCATGGGGTCTGCAGAACCACGGCAAGGTCAGAGCTGCCACCCGGCTGGACAGGCAGGGGTGCGAGCAGGCGCTCTCTTCTGGTGGCCTGGCCTCAGAGGAAAGGGCAGCCTGTGTTGAAGCCAGCGTCCCCTCCTCTCCAGCGCCCCGCCTCACCCCAGGCGGCTCAGGTGAGGCCGAAAGATCGCCGTCACAAGCTCAAGTCCTGAGCGCCAGCGGGCCGCCCTCTTCCGGCCGAACCGCCTCTCCAGCGGCAGGTCAGAGTCCCAGAGGGGACTTGAGGCGCACGGGGTGGCCAGGGACAGCGTTGCAGCCCGGGCTCAGCTGCTCCCCTCGTGGCTGCGCCCCATAAACCATCCATGCAAGAAGCGGCCGGCGCCCCCGGGGACGGAGATCCAGGCGGCGCGGCCCGGGGCCGGTCACGCGTGCGCCGGCCGCGGGACCTCACGAGATCCAGGGGCGCAGGACGCGCGGAGCGCCACGGTCCAGCCGCCGTAGGGACGCGGGCCCCGTCGGGCCTCCGTGTCCCCGCTGCACATCCCCGGCTCCAGCAGCCTGCTCCTGCGGACAGTGTCCCCTCAGCGGGGTCTGTCCCGCCCAGTCCTCACCTGCGGGGCGCCTCCCCAGCAAAGAGCTCTCTCCGGCCCAAAGGCCGACTCCGTCGCCCAGACGACTGTGGACACAACGCTTCCGGCTGCCGCGGCATTTAAGCACGCACACCGGAAGTCCCGCCCCCCGCGGCCCGGCGTACGCCGGGACAGCGGCTGCGGGCCGCCGGATCAGGGAGATGCGCTGCTCCGCGCTGCCCTCGCGCGGCCAGGATGGGTACTGCCTCGCCCTTGGGCCGCCTGGGCCTCTGGCGCTTGTACTGGTAGTGCCAGGGTTTCGGTTGAGCAGTCAGGCTGATGTGCACATTTGGGAGTGGCCGGAGGGCTGGCCGCGTGCTGGACCTGCCTCCCCAGCACACCGCTTCCACGGCCACAGGGCGTCCACGCCAGGCCGCTGACCCAGGGCAGCACCTGGGGAGGCCAAGACTTGCCCACAGGCAGGACAGTGGGCCCTGGGGTAGCCTGGCAGGCCCCAAGTAGTCTGCAGACAGGCTGCTTGGGGAATGAGCTGGCAGGAAAGCTGTGGGGCGGGGCCTGTTCCTTCGGGTGAGCCCAGGAGGGCTTCCAGGGCAGAGCTGGGGCCCCTTGTTCCTCCAGGACCTGTTAGCCCAGCCAACCCTGGGCCAGGACCGCTCAAGTAGGCCTCAAAGCTGAGGCTGCGATGGGCAGCAGGCAGAGGTCACCGCGGAGTGTAAGCTATACAGTGGCACATTGCACACACAAGCTGAGACCCCCCTCGCTCTACTTACACTGAGTGGACTGGAGGGCAGGCACACCACGGGCTCCACATGAGGAGCTTCTGCCCAATGGGTGAAGGGGACACCAGCTGGCCATCTGGCCTGCAGGCCCCGCTGCCCCAGGGCAGGTCTGTGGCTGACGCATTGCCCTGTAGCTCCGCCTCCCTTCTGGGCTTCCTGGGGCTGTTGTGCACTCGGAAGAGAACCTCACAACCCCAAAAACGCAGATGTGAAGCACACGCTGTGTCTCTGATGCGCTGGCCCCTGCGGTCTGACCCTGACCCCAAGTACAAGGACCTAGGAGACAGGTGAACCAGCACAGGTCACCAGCGATGAGAGCAAGCAAGACGCACGCCCCTGCGGCACAGGACAGCTGTGCCGCTCTGCACGGAGGCTGGGCCAAGTCAGAAGAAAACACAGCACCTGAGCTTCAGAGTTTATTTAAACAAGAATGTTACAGGGTTAAACTTATTAAAAGAAAACCACATAGGGGAAAACAGCCAACAAAGCACAGGGTCCCTGCTGTGTCCTCCCCAGGCAGGCAAGACGAGGACAGCCCAAGGCCTGTGCCACCCTGGGAGGCTCTGCACACCACACTTCCGAACCCTACGAGTCACCGTACAAAATGTCACTCCAAACGTGAGCCAAGCCCCCAGCCAAGGCAGGCTGAGAGCTCAGATGGCTCCTGACATGGACCGAGTGGCCTCCGTCCCTGGCGTCCGAGTGGAGAGGAGCAGCAGTCACCAGGTGGTGCCTCTGCACTCGGCCCCCGAGAACTGAAGCCAACCCTAAGGCCTCGGTGTGAGCTGCCAGCCAGCGGGAAGCTGAGTGGCAGCAAAAAGGCACAAGTTCCTGTCCTGGCCACTCGGCGTCCTTGGCCCACAAAGCCGAGGAGGGCAGAGGACGGCGCCTGCAGTTAGTTTCCGGGGTGATGGAAAATTGCACAGTGGCTGCTTAGTGTGTCTTTCAAGAACCACTGCATTTTGTGAAAATTCCTCCCAATACATCAATGAATCTATAAAGCAGAATTTCACCAAGAAGGACCATTTATAAACCACTGGGATGACACACAGGTGCCACTCCTGTAGCAGTGGCCAATAATCCTGCGTCGGATTGTGGAACCGGGGTCTCGTGATAAATACTTTGCTCTGGTGGAGGATCATAGTGGGGGCGCAGCCGCATACTCATGTGGGTGGTGGTGATCCGGGCACACGGAGCCAGGAGCTGAAAAAACCCAGTGTCTCAGGAGTTCTCCTCTTCTTTCACCTCAGAAATTCTGTCTATAGATTTAAGGATTTCAGCAACGAGATTCAATGTCTCAGCTCCAGAAACCAGCTGCCTACAATGGAAGCAGAGATTGGAGGCTGTTACTCCAAGTGCTCCCTGAGAACAGAATGGAAGGGGGTCCAATGGGTGGAATGGCCCCCATGGCCCCCATGAGTGTCAGATGGCCTAGGCAGGCTCAGCCCCTGGGAGATGGGTGCAGACAGTAGTGACTTTCTGATGGAGCAGAAGCAACACACGCCCAGCAGAGCAACCCAGTGGCGACCTGCCCAGGCTGGCCCTGTGGCCCCTACTCCTGTGCACCTGCACCCGTGGTCACACCCAGCTGAGGTTAGGGGTGCGGAGCTGTGCCTGGCGGGTGTGTTAAACACATCTTTAACCCCTGGTCTTCTTGGCCTCAGGATGCAGCGCCCTGCATGGTGAGGAACTCCTGGGACTGTGGTGTTAACAAGGCAGTGACATCGTCCTGCAGCGCCGAGAGCCTCGTGTAGCCGCCCAGCCTCTGCACAAGCAGAGGAGCGCTGTGCTGCCCCTCTGTCCCCAGCTTCAGCATCTCGTGGGCAAAAAACCTGGATCCCTTCGTGCAGCGAAGGCCATACTTCTCGGGAAGTGGGACACTCCTCCAAGGCAGGTGAGCAGCTGGCTTGCCGCTCAGACAGGGCCGGAGGGCCTCTGCACAGCCCCGCTCCCTGCAGCTGCCTATCTGGAGCCCAGGCCATGTCACCCCATCTCACCCTTGCCTGACCCAGGCGTCCGGCCCCCTGCGCTCACTTTATTGACGCATGTGCGCTGCTCATGACCACATGGAGGTTATGCAGAGCCACGTCGGTGTTTTGCTTCACCACAGTCAGGCTGGCACCCTGGCCCGACCGCAGGACTTCGTTTTCCCGCTTGAAGTTGGAGACCTGCACCTGGGAGGGACGGGGGTGGCCTGTCAGGGGCGGTGGTGGAGCAGATAGCACACCAGGCAGTCTGCACGGTCACCCTTGGGGACAGGCATGGACCGTCCCTGGCCTCAGCAGGTGTTCTCGTCCAGGGGGCTCCCCAGAGCAGGTGGAGCCCAACATCCTCTTACTTAAGGCACCCTCACCACCTGCTTTTTATGGGGTCACCCCACCCTAGACCCTCAACATCTGCGACGTGACCAGGAGGACGGCACACACCTGCCCTTATCTTTGCCCCCACAGCTCCGGCCTGAGCACAAAGCCCTGCTGCCTGGATTTTAGGACCTTCACCTGCTGGGCACAGAGCAAACCCATACACTCCTCCTGACTTCACGTGTATATGACCGTGAAGAAAAGGACCTTTACTCCCCTTACCTGGAGCAAGTTTACCTCCTGTTTCAGCTTCACGACATGATTCTCTGCCTTCACAGCCCGCTTCTGTGCCCAAAACACAAACACAAACAAAGGTTGCGTGGCCGAGGGCAAGTTGGTCAGGAGGCTGCCCCGCTCGACCTGGCCTCTCCTCACTGCCTGGGGCCAGCGACCCAGCCCACAGAACCTGTGCTCAGCTTCTGCTCACTGACAGCCTTAGAGAAACCCGGCTCCAAAGCAAAGCAGAGTGTGATGGCTGCGCCCAGGGACCCTGGTCCACCCAAGAGCAGCCCGGGTCTCAAGGTGCTGTGGCGGGCTCTGACAACAGTGGCCCCTCTCCAGGTGCTCCCCGCCCCTGGCCCAGAGACCGAACCCCACTTACGGTCATCTGCTCCAGGTTCTGCTCCACCTGCTGCACCGCCAACTCCAGGTCGCGGTAGTCACTCTCCTCCCTGACCATCTTCGCCTCCAGCTTCCGCTCAAGTGTCCTCAGCCTGGCAGAGGGAGACCCGGTGTTGAGTTCACGCAGCTGGTGTCAAGAACACTTCTAATTTCAACTACAAGCACTTCAGTTTCTTGTTGGATAAAAAGCCCTCAGAGCCCGCAACCAGATCACCAAGCCCAGATATAAAGGCCAGGAGCAGCGACCACCCAGAGTGCCCCTGCTGGGCTTCCCAAAAGGGGTGCAAGGAGCCGTGAGATCCGCTGACTCTGCCAGAGTTTGCAATTTGCATCTGATGCTTAAAAAGCTCTACACAGAGCTGCTGTGGTGGCATACACTTATAATCCCCACACTCTGGGAGGCTGAAGCAGGAGGATCAGAAGTTCGAGCCCAGCCTAGGCAACTTGAGATCCTGTCCCAAATTTTAAAAATTTTAAAAAGGGCTGGGGATGTAGCTCAGTGTGAAGGCCTGGGGTTCAATCCCTGCTACTAGGAGGCAAATGCATCCAGGAAACCTGTCTGACACAGTAACACCCAGACTCAAGCCTGGGCACTGCAGTCACTGCGACACCGATTTCCCTGGGTGGAAGAGGACGTTTGGAGTCACTCCTGACTGAAAGCTTACATACATTTCAGTTTGAGTTTCAGAGAAGCTCTGAACCTCATTGAGCTTTCTTCTTAGCTTAGAATTTTCATCTTTCAGCTGTAGAGAAAGAAAATCCCCATTAGAAACCCAACATATCTCATTCAAAAGTGTAAGTGCTTCTGTGATGGGTGCGGCCACTTCTGGGTTTGTTTTCCGTAGCACTAGGGGTGTGCGGTACCACACAGCTGTGCCGTGCCTGGGCCTGGCGGAGGGGCAGAAACACCTGGTCACCAGTCTCCTCTCAGCACCAATGCAAAGGAGGACCAGGTGCCAGACTCTGATGCGACCTGTGACCTTTTCAGGCAAGTACAACTTTGCACGCTCTTCACTGGGACAATTAGCAAGATGTCCAGGAACTGGTGGTTCTCGTCAACCACCTGAGCACATCACCACGCTACTCCGGATGGACCTCGCTTCGTAACTTGTTTCAGTATACTTTTTCATTTTTAGGACAGGGTCTCCCTGTGTAGTCTAGGCTGGCCCTGAACTCACTGTGTAGCCCAGGCTGGCCTCAAACTCACGGTAATCCTCCTGCCTCAGCCTCCCAAGTGCTAGGATTACAGGCGTGCGCCACCACGCCCGGCGTAGTCCTGATATTTCTGGTTGGTGATACTCACTGCGCACCCAAAGCCAACCAAGGGGATAGCTCTCCGTGGGGAAACTGCTGCAGCAGTTACACAAGCAAGCCCCGGGGAGGCAGGACAGCTGAGCTTTGCCCAGGACACTGCTCAGCCCCTGCTCCACTCCAGGCACCAAGCAGCGCCTACTTACTGCTTCATAACTCATCTGCAGTGTCCGCAGCTGTCTGTTTCCCAGGCACTCTCCGTGTGCAGCTAAGTCTGTGCCTGGACTCCCGGATGGTGATGCTGGGGAGACGTGGGAGTCTGTGTCACTCATCGTCCAAGGGGGAAGAGACTCAGGCCCCGCCAGCTCCGACGGGGTGGAGAAGAAGGAGAGGTAGGTGCCACAGGGGGATGTGTTGCTGGTGGCCCGGGAGGTGCGGGTCTGCTCCACGGCTGATGGCAGATAGGTCCCGTTCCACCCGTCTTCCTCATCGTCATCTTCATCCAGGAGGTCCCCTGCCCCTGTCAGGTCTTCAAAAAACGGCTGTGGATAGTCCAGGCCGAAGCTCACAGCTGGGGTGCTTGGAGAGCTGGGGTCCAGTCCCAGGGAGCGCCTTGAGGCTTCCTGAAACAGCCGAGGTGAACCCTGCAGCCAGAAGCCAGCACCTGCCCTTCTCTCTGCTCAGCCTGCAACCTCAGGAGAGGCCCATCCTAGCTAGTCCTGGGGTACAGGCTAAATTCCCAGCTCTTCTGGGGCTGAGGCAGGAGGATGGCAAGTTCAAGGCCAGCCTGGGCAAGTTAACGAGACCTGTCCCAAAGGTTACAGACGGCCGCTGGGGAGGCTCAGCGAGGTGCCTGCCTTGCATGCGCAAGGCCCTGGGTTCAACCCCTGGCCCCATAAGGGAGAAAGAAAGGGGCCCATCCTGTCCACCACAGAGGCCCAGCGGCTGTCCACCCCATGGGCTTCTCCACTGCAGTAACAGCAATCCTGCTTGTCCCGCCTGTGCCCTCCCTCTGTGGCAAGGTCAGCCTCCATGGCCTCAGATCTACCTTCGGGTAAATTCTGCTGTTGCTTGTGTCATCTTTTGACAGGCTGAGGTTCTTAGTTTTCAGAAACTCTTTAAAGGAGAATGGGTTTGCCTCTTCAAGGTCTTCAGGTTTATCATCTGAAAGAGCAGGCATCCCGGAGGTCACTCAGGGGAGCCTCCCCTTCCCTGCTCTTACCAGAGCACAACTGTGCCTCCTGGGGAAGAGACTCAGGTGCCACCAGGAAGCGGGGCCAGCTGCCCTGGAAGAGGGCAAGAGACAGGTCTATTTCTTCACGCTCACTTCTCCCATTCCTCACGCCCTGGCACTCCCAGGAAACCCTGCAGTTCTTCTGGTTTGGGGGATGGAACCCTGTGCCTCGCCCGTGCTAGGTGAGTGCTGTCTGACCCACACCCCCATGTCACCCTGGCATCTTTATGATGTGGCACTACAAAGCCAGCTCAGGTACGGAGGGCAGGGTGACCTGTACATGGGGCTTCAAGCTCCTTGGGGGCTGCAGAGCTTGGGAACCGCGAGCCTCAACCTGTCGGATCTGGTCACCCTGTTCACATTCCCTGCTCCCCCTGGCTGGACCCTGTCCCCGGTGCCAGCCCGTGCAGCGGAGACTCCTATCGCCCTGCCAGCTATCTCCTCAGCTCTCTAGGCAGGACTTTCTAGCTCCCTCATGTCCCCATGTGTGAGGTTCTCCTTCCCTATCACCTCTAGGGGCAAGATGGAACCCTTGCATCTGATCTTTTGGGGTCTCAGCACACCTCTCAGATCCTGTCAGATCGGCAACCCCGTGACTGGGTGTGTACCTGGCACTGTGAAGTGTGTTAAAGGAAAACGAATGGCTGGGCGTGGTGGCGCATGCCTGTAATCCCCGCACTCGGGAGGCTGAGGCAGGAGGATCGTTGCAAGTTCGAGACCAACCTGGGCTACAAAGTGAGCTCAAGGCCAACCTGAACTGCAGAGTGAGACCCTGTCTCAAAAAGATCCAAAAAAAAAGAAAAGAAAAGAAAATGAATGGATCTCCACACTACGCTACCTCCAAATCGAGTCTCATGGGCTCCTGATGGACCTTGCTTAGTACATTTCCCTTTTCCATAGCCAAAATCTGCAAAGAGATAGGGTCAGCCTGCCACGTCACAGGAAGCTGTGCGACTACAGTGCCTTTGGGGGGAGTGGACCCTGCGGTGGCCCTCACGGGCCGCGGAACTGTTGAGGACAAGCGGGAGCTCTGGCCCGCGTGGGTGCCCCGGCCTCTGGGAGAGGGAGGGGGCTCTGCGCCCAGCCGGGGGCGGGCACAGCACTCTAGCCCTGCAACACCCTGAGGCGCCACACCTGCACACGGCTGCCCTGGGGTACCACGGCGTGCCCGAGCCCGGCGCGGCTGCCCCCAACCCCCGCCCTCCGCCCTCCGCCCCTCGGGGAAGGAGAGGCGCCTCCGTGCGCCCAGGACACCGACCTTCCTGCCCGGGTCCCCGGCCGCCCGTCAGCTAGGCGGGGGGCGCTCGGCTGGCTCGGGGCTCCCTGGCGGGTCCGCGCCCCGACTCTCACCTGTGTCTCCCACGGAAGCCAGCACCGGGCTGGGCACATAGCACATAAACGTCGGCCGAAAGCCGAGGAAAGGGGGGCGCCCACAGTCTAGCTGGGGCAGGCAAGACCGGCGCTCACAGAACGCAGGAGCTGTAAGCGACAACGACAGCGGCTTCACCCCCGCCCGGCCCCGGCCGCCCCCCGGCCCCGGCCCCGC